CTGAGTCGGTTTTTCCCAAGTCTTAACGAACGTTCCAGAATGGAATGTCTCGATTCAGAGAAAATTGCTACAGAGCTGCTCAGTGAATAAGGTGGAGAGCTATCAATCCTTAGTTCTCCATATGTTTGTGCACGCTTGTAGGATGCACTGAGGTCTTTGTGCTCACAGATATGCACTAGGGAAATCTGGAATGTTAAACACACAGGGTTGTTCCTTCAAGGGAAGGGACGCATAACTTGTTACTGCCCAGAAGGCTGGGGTGTTGTTTGTTTTTTTTGTTTGTTTGTTTTGTTTGTTTGCTTGTTTTTGAGACAGAGTTTCTGTGTGTAACAGCCTTAGCTGGCCTAGGACTCACCCTGTGGACCAGGCTGGCCTGGAACTCAGAGATACACCTCTCTGCCGCTGTAGTGCTGGAATTAGAGGTGTACACCACCACTGACCAGCTGCTCCAGACTCTTCCTGTAAGCTTGTCTTTCTCAGTCTGTGGAACCCATCCTTATGGAAGGTGCCACATGCGCTTTACAAGGCATTCCAATGCACTCACTTCCAATCTCTACTTAGCTTACTCTGGGCTTGATTGTGAGCACAGGATGAGTTAATTATCATCAGCAAACTTTTCACCACAATGTGCTTTGCTTAAATGTACCTAAAATACTCAGGATCAGACTCCTTAAGTTTGAATCAACACTGGCTACTTAGTGTTGTTGACCCAAACTGCATTTTGGGTCAATACTCTGCAAGCCATGGGGCTCACAGACACCCTATACCTACACACCCACATATCCTTTTCACATATACATGAGAGAAAAAAAATTAAAGACAGATGGAGATAGACAAAATAAAATATACCCAAGATTGATGGCTGAAGCTAGATGGAGAACAGCATTAGTTTATTCTGTCAACTTGGAGCTTACATAAATTTTCTTAATTAACACTAAAATACCATTCATTTCAGCTAGTGGAACTGGAGACAAATCTTTTAGAATTACATTTCTAATTTTACATTATTGATCTATTTATTAATTTACTGCTTATTTACTTTATTAATCTGCTTATTTTGTTTCTGGAGTCCAGTCCAGGGCATTATGTGTGTTACATCCTGCTGTCTACCCCCAAGTCAAGTCACACACACACCACACACACACACACACACACACACACACACACACACACCCCGTTCCTGATTTTAGAATAACCTTATTTCATTCTAACAGACTATATTATAATAATTTTGCATGGTCTTGGATTAGGAAAAATTTTTTTTAATGATTTGCAAGTAAAATACCTACTATTACATCCTGACTTTTGTTAGGTTGTGACAGGATCTTGCTATGTAGCCCCAGGCAGGTCTCAATGAGTAGTGACCTTCCTGCAGGCTCCTAAGTACTGGGATTGCAGGCATAAACCACCATGCCTGGCTTGTGCTCAGATCTTAAAGTGACACTGCTTTCACTGTCCCTCACAGCTAGTGCTTTGGAGGCCTGACAGTTAAGGACAGGTACCAAGGAACTATACTTAGTCTGTTTAGACACTGGCTCACCAGGCCATGTCAGGGAACCATATATGAGCCCACCATGGCATTAAGGGGTATGGGAAAGGAAATCAGCCCCTCATCCCAGAACCTAGTTTAAATTATGCCTACAGAGAGCCAAGAATTTCTACATAGCTAACAAAAATTGCTATGAAGATGGCTGCATAGACATTTTATCAGCATTCTTTTCTGGAAGATATTTCACATAAGAATAATGAACAATGCTTAAGGTGTAGAGTATGAACATATGCCTCTTTCCTCTTTTGAATACTTTTCTGAGAATCTCACATCCAAGATTAAGAACCATGTTTCCAGCCAAGTATGTGCCTTGCCTCCTTGTGACCCTGGACACAGTGGGATTCCTTTAACTTTCTTTGACATGTTTTGATCTTGCCAGCCTGTAAATCTGTACAGTGTGCTTTGTAAACTACTTTATGATCTCATTTACTAAAGAAACGTTTCTGATAAATATAAATGTACTAAAATATATTGCACAATCTTTTAAGTGATGTGGACAAAATAATTTCAAAAGTCACCAGAATCACATACAGCTATTGTTGTTAAAGTTGTTAAATGTGTGTCCCCATTCCCTGTGTCTCTGCTCACATCTACTTCTCTTGGGTATAACTACCCTTTTCCTAATAACCATGCTCCTCCTAACTTCTGTACTTAAATCTACATTAAAAATTTTATTTTCATTATCTTCTTTTGGATACAGCCCAGGTTGGCTTACTAAAAATATTTTTAAGTGCTAAAACTATCTTAGGTAAACTGGTCTCTGGACCTGCCCCAAATTCCTGAACAACATGACCCTGAACTAAAGGTCAAAGGTTAACTCCCTGACCATTTAACTGTTATCTCTCTGCTTCTGTAAACAATTTCTTTCTACATATGGCATAATTGCATTCATTATATGAAAAAATTTCAAGAATGACCAAAGGTAGAAAATATAAGCTGACAAGGCAGGCCCACTATGATCATACAGAGATGTATGTAAAGATGTACACAATAGATTGGAGGCTGTACTTTTTACCCCATATATTCTGGCAGGTTATGGTGTGTTTTAAATTTGTGTTCATGTATTAACAGCCTTGGGTATAGTCCTGGAACCGTGGGAGTACACACCTTTAGTCCCTTACTTGGGATGTAGAGACAGTAGGATCTTTGTGAGTTCAAGGCCAGCCTGGTCTAGAGAGCTAGTTTCAGGACAGCCAGAGCTGTCACACAGAGAAACCCTCTCTGGAAAAGCCAGAAAGAAAAAAAAAAAGTCCTGGGTATCAAACTCAAAACAAGGCCTTCTTTGGGTATGCTCGGCAGATACTCTCTCATTGAGCTATACTTTCAAAACCTCCAGTGAGTTATTTATCAATTTGTTTCTGAAAACAGACACCACTCTGTAGCTGGCCTTGAAATCACAATCTTAGAAATCACTACTCTCTTAACTTGAGTGATGGGATTATAGGTGAGAGCCAATATACCTGCATTCAATGTTATTTTAAAGGACTGAAAAAAATGTATTTGTGTAACAATTAAGAAAAAGGGAAACAATTTGGAAAAACACAACAAACTGTTCTTTTCCTGTAGTTCCCAACAGAAAAAAAGCCACACACCCACATTCACCTCCCAGGTTAAAAATTCTACAAGGCTGATTGATTCAACTATGATAGTAGACACTGGAATGTTGCAGCCTGGGGCCAAATGATCTTAGGCTATCCTTAGCCTCCTTATAGCCATTCATCCCCCACTTCCATGTGACTACCTTTTCAGAATGTACAAATCAGAACACCAGTTTCCACCAATCCCAAAGACTAAGAATATCCGGTAAAAGGCCCATCTGATTTTCCATCAATGCATCTGAAAAAGGTCTTAGCACTTTTGTTGGGATATGAACTTCATAAAACTGTTACTATGTGGAATGTAGTTTGAATCCACCTTCTTGGGTTTTTTGGTTACGGACATGAATACTTGGCTCCAGAATAAACCCTATTCCCTTTGAGGTAAATTTTTTTTTTTTTTTTAAATCCACATCTTCAAGGAGGAAAGGAAGGGCTGACAGTTAAGCGTGTTACTTTTCACTACCAACTAATTGTTAACAAAGAAACCGAAACTTTGGCCACTTTGTTAAAATAAGAATCTTTAATATAGAAAATCCCTAAGTACATTTTTAAACAAGTGAAATGGGCTCCAACTCGGTCTATCCCAACAACCTCTGTCACAAACAAAATGGCAACGTTATTTTCTCGGTACTTTTCCAGTTACGTCCTTTATACAGCAATTAGGAATTCAAAAGAATTCCTCTCTCCTTTATGGAATATTACTACCTTAAATATCACATTCCAGAATTAAATGCCTGGCTAGTCAAGAATTTCAGCAGAGCATCCCAAACTGTCAATACAGCAGCCCTTTTCTGTTTCCTAGTAATATTAGAGCCTTTGACACTTTGTGTTTCTTTTGGGGAAAAAAATTAAAAATACAAACTGTACCACGCACTAACACAATATAAATCACCTTTCCACCCTGGAACTGTCGGAATGCAATTAATGAACATGAGAAAGAGACAGTAAGCAGCCTGCACGGCAGTTAAGATGTCAGGGACCCTAACGACATCCTCGCAGCTGACGCTGCCCGGCGCGGGCGCCGCAGCCGCCTTAAAGGCAGGATGACTCTGCACAATGACAGGCTTGCACATTTTCCGGGGAGGACGGTTTGGAACGGAAGGGGCCATTCGGGAAACGGAGATAAACAAAGAAAGAGGCTTAAGGCCGGATCCAAGACGTTAACCCGAAACCGGAGTCGCCGTCGCATCAGCCCACGGCCTCCCGCCCGGGAGACGCGCGCCAGCCTCCATTTCGTCCTGGGTCTCCTCTACGCGAGCGGCGCCGCTATTTTTAACCTTCTACCTCTGAAGACGGGAGGGGAGGGGCGCGGCCTGGCCAGCGCTGGGAGGCCGCCACGAGGGGCTGAGGCCGGCGACGCGGGCGCCCGCCAAGGTCACCAAAGCCAGGACAAAGGACACGTAGGGGACACGGCCCACGGAAACAGGGCTAGGCGACTTCCGGTAGTGCGCGGGCCGTCAAGCCCGGACTCCCGCCCTCTCGGAGGACAAAGCGGCGCCGAACGGACGCGCGGCCCGGCCCGGCCCGGCCCCGCCCTCGGCGCGCGCCCGGCACCCCGCCCGGGGACGCGCACGACGGTTGGAAATGGCGGTTAAGGCGGAGGAGGGGCCGGGGGAAGAGAACTTTCTCGGCGCTGCCTGCCTCGAGCCAGCCCGCTTGCGAGACGGGAGCCGGTAGCGCTTCTCTAGGTCGTCTCCTCTCTGTCGTCCCATTCCTCGCGGCCAGTTACGGGGCCGGAAACACTGTGGCGGGTCGCACGGAACAAAGGAGGGGCCGCGGCGGGCTTTGGCGCGGCCACAGGAACGCTTCCTAAGATGGCCGCTGCGCGGGGAGGGAGGGGGAGTGGGCGGAGCCCTGCCGCTTCCGTCGTGGGCCTGGGCGGGGCGATGAGTGGCACCCATGGCTGCCGCGCGGGAGCCCCACGAGCCGGAGAAAAAGGTAAAGCAGGCGGTGGGGCGCGGGAAGTGGGCAATCGGCTTTCTAGAGCAGCCCGGGGACCACGAGCTAGCTATTCCAGCGGTCTAGTACTCAGTTGCTTCAAACTGGCGAAGAGCAGACTCGCGGGGTCGAATGAAAACGGCGACTACACTGTACACTACATTGTACTTTGGTAGTTAGGGCTAGCAAATTTATCCCGTGAGCTCGGCTAGGTGACTCGTGTCAGTAATCTCCGCCATTTAGGCTGAGGCAAAGGGCAGCTTGAGTTCTAGGCCAGCCTGGGCTGGCTAATGTGTCAGTCTCTGCATAACAGTCAAGCAAGCGTGCACACACAGATAAGGTAGATTCGCAAATCTTTGATTATTGCTTGTATTGGGCTCTGTTACCAAATGGACAGCCATTGCACCTTATGAAGCCAACATCCTACTTTTGTAATTAGACTGGAATTTCATTTAAGCCAGACCCGAGGAAACTGCCATGTTAGGCAGTGAACAGCTAGAGGAATGGCTACCGGCAAGTAGGTGTGCAAGTGGAAAATGTGATACAAAGCCCAAAGCAGAACATATACCGGCCTTGGTAGCAATACTTAGGGGTCATCCTAGGTAAAATGTTTTTAATAAATTAAACAGCGATAAAGTACTACTCATCAAATGTTAGTACAACAAAGGTCAAATGTTGACCTATCTCATCTAGATTTGCTTAAAGAACGTCATGTGGACTTGACAGCTATTTTGGAAATACTTTATCAGCTTACAAAATGAGTGAATAAACACAATTAACAGGTAAGAGTATAAATAGCATTCAGCTGTAAGGCTTGAGCCACAAGGAAAAAAACAGATAAAAGGGCAGATTCTGACCAGTGGAATAACAAGCTGAGACATTACAAATGCTTTATCTGTGTCGCAGTGCAGAGATGAGTTTTTAATGTGCCTTGATCTTGACAGTGTTGTTACCCTGCTGTGTAAAAGGAGAATGGGAGTTGTGAGGTGTAAGGCTATCTAGGTGATGTTAGTCTTGCTATGGAGTGGTAGTTTGGTTAGGTTGGGGCCAGTGAATTGGCTCAACACAATACATGACTAGAGTTAAATCCTAGAACCGTACTGGCCAAGACTGCTGTCAGTTCTGACTCCCACCCATCCAAATAGGTCTGGCAAATGCAGAAAAGGGCTTATAATACTGGCAGGGAACCTGCCTACCAGCCATGAAAGGCAAGGTGGGGACCCTTTGCAGCAACACTATGATGCCTGTGTTCCCCTGAAACAGGAGTGACAAGGCTATCATGCAGGTGCTAGGAATAACTTCATAACAGTCTGTGCTCCTAACTGCTGGGCCAGCCCAGAATTATTTTAAATGCACCACTGAGCGTTGTTACCTTGTCTGAGCTGTCCAAACAAAACACAGGCCTATAATTGCAGTGCTTCACAATTACAGGAACTCCAATTGAGGTGGTCTGGACTTAGGTGGTATATCTTGGCCGACTAGAGATCCCATTTATGTAGTAGCATTGTGTCCTGGATGCAAATGAGTGCTGTGACTGTTCCGGTATCCCTTCATCTTGCTACAGCAAACCATTTCCAGGGTGAGGGTGTGCAACATACTACTTTAGGGCAGGGGTTCCCCACTGGATAGACCATGACCTTTTTTTTTTTTGATGTGAGCTAATGGTGAGAGCAGTTACCAAAATCTGTCTGGGAGGGAGCTGAGTGTGATACAAGTTTAAAAAAAAAAAAAAAAGTCAAGAACAGAAGCCATCTGGGAAAGCAAAATTTTACTTTAATGAGAGCCAAGTCACATTTTATCTTCAAGCAGATCTTTGGGACAAAGGAGTAAGACACAGGTGAGGCTCAGCTCTACCCATATCTTTAAAGGGTCTGAATTGCCTTTACTTTTCCTCTCCTCTCCCGGCCCTCATTCCTTCCATAGTAGGTGCCACCTCTTATGCAATCTTTTAGCTGCATTGAATGGCACTGAAGACGAGATTCAATAATCCAGACCTGTTTTCGGGATCCAACACAGGGTGGCTTCTTTCACACAAGCTACATACATTAACAAGTTGCAAACTTGCTTCTGAGAGTTTTAATATTGGAACTCAGATCAATTTTCAGTGCACAGCAACTACCTTGTTGCAAGTTTCCTGATTGCTGGAATTATAATCAGGAACTACCAGCTGCCTGGCTAAGTAAGACTTACATACACATTAAACATGAAAAGTATTTCCATCCCATAGCCAGTGTGAGCGACAGATAAATATCCTTGAAAAATATAAAACTATTTGGTCACCTATGAGGTCAAATATATAAGTACAACCTCAGGAATTATTTCCTCTTGCAAAGTAAACACTATGTTCAACACTCCAATTCCCAAAATGATAAATTAATAAGACTACTTGCTCAGTCTACATTTCTTTCTCATTTTTTCCTAGCCCTTTAAACTCCTAGGAATCTTAGATGTTGAGAACATTCCCTGTGCTCGAGAATCAATACTATATGGCTCATTAGGATCTGTTGTGGCTGGCCTTGGACATTTCTTGGTGACCAGTGAGTATTTCTCCAGAATATTATTTCTGTAGTGAAACATTTTCTACATAGAACATAATTATACTGACCACACTTGTTTTTAACAGGTAGAATTAGAAGATCATGTGATGTTGGAGTAGGAGGATTTATCCTGGTGACTTTAGGATGCTGGTATGTTTTCTGCTTATTCCAAAGTTTACAGTGTCCAGGCTCTCCCAGAACTAGTCTCAAGCTCACATCTGCCTCCCACCCCAACCCCAAGTGCTAGAATTAAAGGTATGAAGAAGCATGAACATTGCCTTCAGAAATGGGGAAGGGAGGAGTGGATGATTTCCTCTGTGGTCCTGGCTGGCCTCACTACTAAGTAGACCAGGCAAGCCTCTGCCTCCTCCCCTCCAGAGTGTTGCTGGGATTTAAAGGCTCAGCCAAGATTGCCTATGACTATGGCAATTCACATAAACATCCATTAAATGTTTGAGCAGATAAATGGCAGAGTTCCTTTGAATAGAGTAAGCCAAACCTGAGATCCCACACATTAATGTAAGGTGACATTAAAAAAAAAAACAAAGCATTTGCATTTTGACATGGGTAGTCATTTTGGAAATTTGTATATAAGTAGTTAAAAATCCCTTAGGTTTAGTCATATAGAAACTAGAAATTTATTCATATTCTTTCTTACAAGGTTCCATTGTAGGTATAATTTTGCTAAGCAAAGAATCCAGGAAAGAATTGCCAGAGAAGGAATTAAAAATAAGATTTTATATGAAAGCACCCACCTTGATCCTGAAAGAAAAATCAAGAGCAGTAACAGCAGCTGAGCAAACTTGGCATAGAAAACCGGAAGAAAACTACTCCTTCGGATCAATCGCAAATGTATACTTTGCACAATTAAAAAAAAAAAAAAAAAAATTAAGTGTTGAGTTGTACTGTCACTTGCATGAAAACCTCTGGTCTTAGAAGCCAGTGTGCCACTGCCATGCCCAACACCCACCCACCCCCCAAAAAAAGAAGCTTGAAGCCTTATATGTTGAATGCAATGAAATAAATGAGCCAGATTGTAGGAGAAGTTGTACCCGAACACCTATCCTTGATATGAAGATTGTTTTCCTTTTGATCACCATGAAGGCCAGGGTGCAGACTTGTGTTAACTACCAGTCAATGATGGTTTCATAAACATGTACTAAGTTTTTAGCTGGTAGTTACCTCAGAACTTAGCCATTGATAGAAGTTTGTCAATAGTTAGATGGTCAATCTAGTAGTATTCTAACAAAATATGGGCAGTGTAGTTGTTGATTAAAGTTCTTTCAGCTTTATCATACCACAATTATATCTTACCGTGAAAGCTTTCTTGGCTGGTAACATTTCCAGTATTCTTCTGCTACTTACAGAGTTCAGTTTCATAGGAGCACAACTGGATAAAAAGAATCACAAAGCATTTAGTTTCCTAGACTTGCCTGGAGCATGCCATTACATATACTTCCATGAACAGTTTCTAATCTTGTACAGTCTCACTGCAAGCATCCCAGTATTTGTATTCCGGGTATGAATTACTACTATGCCAGCTTAATTCAACCTACTGTCATCACATCCAAACAATGACAGCTGAGCCTCATGCATACCAGAATCTCCATGCTTGTCAGAAACCTTTGCTAACTTTTTATTTTCCTTAGAAGTTGTGTGTGCATCTCCTGTAGGTAGCTTTCATTTGGTCACAGCCTATGTGCCACACCACACCTAGGCTTCCCAAAAGGTCAGGCATAATTGAGAGCCATTGTTGTGTATTTACTAGCAAAGGTCTAGGCTATCAACCTCAACTTTAAAATTGCCAATTTTAAACTCAACCTACCTTCAATGCCCTCTGTGCACACTGCTTCCTTCATTGTTCCGATAATCCCGAAATTTCATACTAGGTGATATAGCAGTAGGTACCAGCTAAATAGCTGATTAAAATAGAATTGTAGTGTTAGTAGTTTTAAAGTTTTTGATAGTTCATCTACCAATGCTAGGCTGTATTCCTTTGCCCCCCTCCCTCAACCCCTCCCTCTGATTCCTTGATTTTCCATCTTAATAAAAAGGACCTCAGGAGATTTAATAGAACAGCTTTTTTTCCTGGACTTGTGACTTATTGACTGAATTTGGCAACAATAAATCTCAACTATGCTAAAACCAGTATTTGATTTGCAAGCATCTTTTTAGTCTACGTACCTCTAACTCCATCGGTGGTTTGTTTCCCTTTGCTTCGATTATATAATGCGGAGGTCTATATAATAAATTCAGGATTCCTGTTTATGCACTTTTCAGCAAAGAGCTAAAGATCAAATAGGGTTTGAATCCTTCTATTCCTAGATAAAAATCTGTGATAGGTGTCAAAGCACCCCTTTAAAAGTCATGTTAAATATACACTATTCTTTGGGTATGCAGACCTTAGTTAATAGGAAAATTAAACAGTTTCTATAATTCTGACTTAGACCGGTCCTCTAGAATTTTGAAGCACCTTAATGGTCTAGTAATTGTATCAGATCAAATATAGCCAGTATCCACTACTACCACCCAAATACTGGTATTTTTTATACATCTTAAGTTTAATTTTTAAATGTTTTCATCTTTGAGAAAACAAAGCTGTTGCAACAAGAAACAACTTAGGAAATTTTCAATGAGACAGGATAATTCTGTCTCAGCCTCCCCAAGTACTGGCTAAGCACATGTGGCTGCAAATGAGTGTTTCTCGACCATTTTAGTATAGCCTTCCAGTTTCTAATGGGGAAGATATTGGCAAAATGAGGCTAGCACCTGGTTAGATAAATATTTCTATTGTTCACTTAAGTATACAACAATGTAACCTTTACCATATTTCCAAACACTTGCTTATGACATAGCACTGGAAGACTAATCTTCATGTACTATAAATGCTTCTATACCATGTGAAAACATTCATTTTCAATGTAACTTAAAGCCTATTTAATAGTTTTCCTGCACCTTTTTTCCCCCTCAAATGAACAATGGTCATACACCCTTGGCTGCCTACTCATTGGAAGCCATTAGGTTGCCTTTCGAGGGTACAGCTATATTTACTACATAAACCCCTATCAAAACTGAAATCAAGTTCCCTCATTGATTTCACCCAGATATTATTGTATTTAGTAGATGCCCCAGGGGAGACACAACCAACCAAGTTTCCCTTTAACTTTAGCATCTTCTTAAGTTTAGACTTCCAGGAATGTACTATCACTTCATTACTCCAAATAGACCACAGCCTATTTCCCAAATTTTCTGAAGCTGGTATTAGTGCCAACACAGAAAGACAAAATGTGGTAAACAAGGGCAGAAAGCGCCCTAAGGGTCACTGTTTTGCAATAAATAGGCCTCTGAAGGTAATGTGCCAAGACTTGGTTCTTTAAATGTATTCCTGTAAACTTACACAAAAATTATCGATTGTTAAACATTTTACTTCTAATATAAAAGGCAAAATTAGGAAAACTTAGAGCTGTCCTGTCCACTTAGTTGCCAATGGCTTTGTGTAAGTTGATCCTGGAAACCTAGCATAACTGATAAACATACAAGCAGCAATTAATTTGAATACCTATTAGAATCACTGGAACACATTTAGTTGGGCCCCTGTTACTCTTCACACAGCACAGTCACATGGACAGACTAAGAAAAAGGAGATGAAATTTAAATCAACACATTGGCTTTATCACGAAGCTTCAAGAAAATGCTGGAACCTTTGTTACTTGATGATTCTCCCACCTCAACTAGCTTAGTTAGGTTGACAACTAGCTTAGTTGACAAACTATTTTATCTAGCTAGATATGCTTTTAATACTTGAATTCTTCACAAGTTTTTGTCTATGGCTCCAATTTTTTTGGTCAGTAAAAACTTTTAGGTGTGCAGGTGTAGGATGTTTTTTTAAAGTGGGTAAACTATTTTCTGTGTCACCCAAGGGGATGATCAAAGGAAAGCAGAACAAACAAGTGTTCAGCTGTTAGCTTACTCAAACCCAAGTAAATTCCATATTCCTTGAACATGGCATTATGTCACTACCATACAAGGTATCCAGTTCAAAGAAATGACTGGAACCTTTCTAGTTTTCCGGAATACATAGTACCTTAAACTGTCATTAATGACACTGAATCTAACAAGCTCATGTATGCTGGATCAGCTTTGGTTAAAAGGAATCTCTCCACCCAGATTGCCTTCTTTTGCTACAAGTATATAATAAACTTTGGCATACATAACTGTCCCTTGCTTGTATTTTGGCAGATAGGCTACTGTAAACTAGTATCCTGGTAACAGAATACTGGGCCTATCACTTATTCTTTGATACTACTGGCATTCGCATGTTTCATTTTCTAAGTATTGCCTAATCTTCTGAATTCCATCTTAAAAATTGTGAAATTCTAGGGCATTTTAATGTTCAATCACATGTCATTTTAACATTCTTTCAACCTGCTGTTTGGCATGAGTCTGACCCATGTGTTTACAAATAAACTAGCATATACTTAGTGAGAGAGATACTTGAAGATTCCCCGGTTCTAACTACTACTCTACAGTAATACTCAAAGGATGTGTATACTGCTTCAATCAGCATTATACAGATCACTACCGAACTTCCAAGGTCTTTGGCAAAAAATAATGTTAGTAACAAAGACAACACTCTAACATGAGTTCCTTGAATACTTGTTTCTTACAAGTATGTACCCACAACAACAAATAATAAAAACACTAGGGACTAAAAACTCAAAAAAGGCTTCCCATCTTTATAGCTACTAGTTGAAGAAAACGTTGCATCTACCTCTCAGCTCAATTGTCAAACTACAAAATCATACACAGAAAAGGTTGCCCGGGGAAAGCAATTTAACTAGTTCTTGTTTGTTTTTAAAGATAGCAACTGAGTTGTAGACAAGCCACAAAGCTAGTTATTCCAAGATTTGTGACTTATACTAAGTCCTTTCAAGTTACCATGGCCTAATTATGCCCTCAATGGGTAGGTTACCACTGATTTGTGACTTATACTAAGTCCTTTCAAGTTACCATGGCCTAATTATGCCCTCAATGGGTAGGTTACCACTAGACACAAAGGGTTCTTCAATGTTTTGGCCTAATCACTCAAGTTACAACTAAGCAGTTTCCAAATAGCCAGTTATCAGAATATTTAATATAGGGGAAAAAAAAAAGATTCAAACTATGTTATAAAATTTTACCCCTAAACAGGTTTAGGTGAATTTGTCATCTTTCTAGGGAATACAACTGAATGAATACTGGAGTGTAATCTGCTACACACACTGTTCACTTCAATAAAAACATTTATATAAAAAGGAATTTACAGGTTTTAAAACTTATTCTATTATTTCTTTTAAAAAAAATATCAAATGTATCCACACTGATGTACACACAACTAGGTTTTTAACCAATTGCATACTACCTAAAAAGCTATCAGTCTTTTGTACAGTCTAGTCTATTAGACTTGAATTAATGAGCAAATTTATAGGAAAGTCAGACTACACTCATCACAAAGGTTAAAAATACTGTATTTTCTAGAATAAATCTAGAAATTGCTTATAATTAGTCATAAGCCTTCTTAGTCACAGGCAAAGTCTGTAATATCTACTTGGATCAGAAACTTCATTTTGTTATTAATCAGCATTTTCCTAAATATTAGCATTGACCAAATGATGTTACCTTTAAGTATTGCTAAGTACTCTATTATCTACAACCACGACCAGGCACTGAATTTCATTAACTGTCTCTACAGAAACATTTTCTGAGGGAAGGATCTTTAAAGGGTTCCACTATGAAACATGTAATGTAGCTCTCAGGCTTGTGCTAATTTTTCTGCCCTTCTGTAGATAACAGGC